TTTTGCTTTAAATGACATATGGCAGCAATATGGATGCAACATAAACTGAGTCTGAAAAACTGCAACATAAACGGAGCGCAAAAAACCCTAGATAATTCTACTGATTTCTCAGCATATTTTTGAAAAACAAAATTAAGAATCAATTCTTCATGGGATAATAAAGGTACTATGAAATAAAAGTTTTCAGTATTGCAGATCTAGATGAATTATCATTACACTGTGGTAATAATATTCCTGTCCTGAAACATATATGTAAGTCCTTTGCTGTGTTGCTGACCTCCAGCGCTGTGAGAACAGACTGTCATCCAATGCCCTCTACCATCAAAAGAAAGAGTCTCATGGGTCTCAGTTATCTTTGGATCAGGTCCCAGAAAATCCCCACATCTGCAGGACTTAGAAGACCAAAAACTGTCTTATGAACAAAATTCTGATCCTGCTACTTCTTAGATAAATAAATTTAGATGATTTCAATAAGATTGAGATCCAACCATGATGCATAAATGCATCATCCTGCTAACTTGTGGTAAGACGTATTATTTCAAGTCATTAATGAGCATATTACTAAACATCAAATCTGTATGGAAACTGTAATTACAGCTCTCATTCAGCTGCATAATTGACTTTAAAAAATTGTTTATTGTATCACATTATTTTTGTGCAGTAAAATGCGAAAATACCACATGCTTCTGAGTCAGTTGAAAAACATTCTAAACAAAAATACCATAAGCCTGACATATCAAGAGCAAGTAAATGGTATCGTCTGTGCTCTTCACATCTATCTCCCCTGCTTCTCTTCTGCTTATTACCTGTTGTAATTAAAACAGCGAAGGGTAGATGGCTCTCAAAATGGAATTCTTAGGTAGGTGATGCTCTCAGTTAATGGTCTAAAATTTCAACCTCCATTTCTTGGTCTGCAGAATGAGGAAGAAGTGATCGGTGCATTAGATACAATCATGCAGAAGAAAAGTGAGAAAGACAGAAGGAGGGAAAACATGAGTGACTGGAACTTGATGTGTTTTGCTTTCTTTACTCATTTTCCTCCACTTTACTGGCTAGCAGTAGAATACAGGAGCTCAGAGGAGAGTCACAGTTCTAGAGATGGAAAAACAGATTAATTATTTGTCACTTTTTGTATTTCTGAGAAGTTGATTGTATCAGCACTTTCAGTAATGAATCTTAAACACAAGTCATTTATCTGGAATATATATACCACTAAATAAGAAAACAGTGAGTTGATCTTTTTCCAGACCTGAAGGCTGTTTAAACAGTCTCAAATCAACCTTCTTATGCTCTGCTTGATAAGAAACCATTATGCAATCTGTCTGCATCCTACACAGCACTGGCCATCCTTTGATGTTCCAGGCAGGCAGGACCTCACAGCAGTAACCCCCCAGATTCAGATGGCTCCTGCTCAGAAGTAACCAGAAGCAAATGCTGAAGAGCAAAGACAAGAAAAACATCTATAAGACCTCTCCTGACTACCCTCCTGGCCTTGGGCTACCTTTGGTTCATGGAATTTCCTGAGCCAGGTGTGGTTTACATACCTCTCTCTGTCTATCAAGCATTTGTCCCATTTTCCCTTCATCCCAGCTAAGCTTTTGCTATATCCATTGGCAAATACTCCTACAAGGCTGATGAACTTTGCATGACAAAAATCACTGCTTTTTGCAGGTTTTGAAGCTGTCTCTTCTTGTCTTTAATTTGATGGCCCCTAGTTTTTGTGCTGAAAGACAGTTTAGACTCCAGCGCACTCATGGCTTTGTAGATCCAGTAAAATATTGGCCGTGGGCTCTCTCTCAAGCTGAAGAGTCCCTGTCGGTTCATGCTTTCCTATTACAGAAGCCATTTCATATCTACAGCCATCTTGGCAGCCCTGCTCTGACTCCTTTCCAGGTCTACTCCAGGGAACCCGAACTGCATGCAGTATTCAAGGTTGGGGCAAACTGTGGATTTATGCGGCAGCACAATGACATTTTCTGCTTTGTTCTCGCATTCTTTTCCTAACCATTCCTAATTCTCCACGGGACTTCTGATCACTGCTGAGCTCTGAGCTGATGTTTTCACAGAACTTTCTATTGCGATCCTCAAGCCTTGCTCCTGTATGGTAACGGTCAAGAGGTCTCGAATCTTCATGTGAAACTAGGAGGTTTTTGCTCGCTATGTGCATTGCTTTACACGATCTGTCTTAAAGCATTTTTAGGTCCTTCTACAATTTCCTACAACCTGTATTCATCTTTAGTCTGCCAAATAACTTTCTCAGAAGCCAATTTTCTTATTGTACCATCTGATCTTTTTTCTGGGTCATCTGTGAACATATTAAATGGCATAATTTTCAGCCTAGTTCCCTGTTGAACTCCTCTGGGATCAATTCTCCCCTGAAAGAATTAAATGTTTACTCCTATCCTGCATTTCCTATCTGGCTTTCAGTTCTTTATTTAGTCAAAGACTTCTCCCCTTATTCCATTGCTTTAGTTTCTGTCGTGGTTTAAGCACAGATGGAAATTAAGCACCACGCAGCCACTCACTCAACTCCCCCTCCTCCCTTCCCTGGGGAGGAGAATCAAGGTAAAACTTGTATGTTAAGAACAGTCTAATAATTGAAAAAAAAGTAAAATACAATAGCAATGGTAAATAATAATGATGATAATAAAAAGGAAACAAGAAGTGATGCACAATGCAATTGCTCACCCCCTGCTGAACAATGCCAGACCCCCTTCCCAAACCCAGACTGGCCGTGCTTCTGGGTAACTCCCCCCAGTTTATATACCAGGCATGACATTCTATAGTGTAGAATATCCCTTTGGTCAGTTTGGGTCACCTGTCCCAGCTATGATCTCTCCCCCTGACAGAGCATGAGACAAGAAAAAAAGCCCTTGACTTAGGATAAACACAACTTAGCAAAAAATCCAACACATCAGTGTGTTATCAACACCGTTCTCATTCCAAATCCAAAACACAGCACTGTAACTACAGAGAAGAAATTAACTCTTCCCTAGTTAAAACCAGGACAGTTCCTTAAAAGATTTTGGTCAAGGATTTCACTAAAAGCTGATGGAAAATCAAGTAGATTGTATCATTTAGATGGCTCTTATCTAAATGCTTGCTGACCCCTCGAAAAACTCATTAGAGGTTTGCAAAATAGGATTTTCTTTTATGTAATCTGTGCTACTCTTCCCAAATGGGTCATATTGATCCATATGGTCTCTCATTCCATCCTTTATCACAAACCCTGCTTAACTGCTAGTGCAGATGTCCAGCTTACAAGCTAGTAATTGCCCACTCTCTGTATGGAAATGAGGGTTTGAGTGCAATATGGTTATTTACATCATGAGCTATGACATTTTCTTTCTAAATCTTTCTGTCTCTATGTACCTATTGATCAATTCATTTATTGGTCGGACTTTCTTTCTTTCTTTCTTTTCCTTCTTTCTTTTCTTTCTTTCTTTTCTTTCTTTCTTTCTTTCTCTCTTTCTTTCTTTCTCTCTCTCTCATATTGAAATACAGGTTTCACTTTTTTACTTTTTATCCCCAGAACATGAAAACACTGCCCAAGTTGGTGATCACGAGAAAAATTTAAAAACTGGTAATATATTTATAGCAATCCTTAACCTTAAAAGCACTGCATACATTTATCTAACAAAATTCATTAACAGGATGACAATATTGTCAAGGCCTAGATTTGATACATTGATTTCTGCATCCTAGGATTGTTTTTTTTATTTCACATTTGCAGAGTACTATATCTTCTTTAATATTCAGTGCTCTTTACAGTCACTTGCTTTTTAATTTTAGGCATACTTTTTTGCATACTTAATCTTATGAACTCCTAAATAGTGGTTTATATTTTTCAAAGACCTAACTTTCTGCTACTGATCTAGCATGGTAACCCAGAACAGAAACTGACCATTTGAGGGTGGTGGTGTTGTTATTGATACCATAAATGGAAAAAAAAGATACATCCAAGAAATAAGGAACTGTTGATTTTGATGGTTCTCACTGTGGAACAGAAACGGCTGCAAGTTATAGCTACAAAATGCATAAAATACATTAAATCTGTTGATTGATTAGAATATCTGTTCTAGTTAGTCCATATTTGATTCAAACGTTCATTTAAACCCTTCATTGTGAATCAAACCATCATCATAGAATCATAGATTCATAGAATGATTTAGGTTGGAAGGGACTTTAAAGATCATCTAGTTCCAACTCCCCTGCCATGGGCAGGGACACCTTCCACTAGACCAGGTTGCTCAAAGCCCCATCCAGCCTGGCCTTGAACACTTCCAGGGCTGGGACATCCACAACTTCTCTGGGCAACCTCCAGTGCCACTCTCCCAGTAAAGAATTTTTCCCTATATCTGATGTAAATCGCTCCTCTTTCAATTCAAAGCCATTACCTTTTAAAAAGTCCCTCTCCCTCTTCCTTATAGGCCTCTTCAGGAACTGGAAGGGTGCAGTTAGGTCACCCTAAAGCCTTCTCTTTTCCAGGCTGAACGATCCCAATTCTCTCAGCCTTTCCTCATAGGAGAGGTGCTCCATTAGTCTTATGACCTTGGTGGCCCTCCTCTGGACTCGCTCCAACAGGTCCATATCCTTCCTGTGCTGGGAACTCCAGAGCTGGACGAGTTATCTCCTGACACTACTGGACTGATCTGCTCAGATTCAACCAAAAACAGGCATGCTGGAAACAAGCTATTCATAAAAGATACAGTTATTGTGAAGTGCCATGGGATCTTAAGCATGTCAAATAACCTTTCCACAGGGATAAATGACAGCTAGATTACTTACTATAAGCTGATATGCAATAGGACAAGGAGTAACGGGTTCAAGCTGAAAGAGGGTGGATTGAGATTGGGTATTATGAAGAAATTCTTCACTGTGAGGGTGGTGAGGCACAGGAAAAGGTTGCCCAGAGAACCTGTGGATGCCCCACCCCTGGCAAGTGTTCAAGGCTAGGCTGGATGGAGCTTTGAGCAACCTGGTGTGGTGGAAGGTGTTCCTGCCCGCGGCAGAGCGGTTGGAACTACATGATTTTCAAGGTCTCTTGCAACCCAAACCGCTCTGCGATCCTGCGTTTCTACATTTTGTCACTACCCAGACGATTCCAGTGTAGGCTTTTATTATGAAGCAGAACGTGCTTCTATTTCCTACACAGACTACAAAACACCCAGGACCAGCAGACACAGCACAGCTTCGAGCACGCCCAGACGGACGCGACGCTGCTCAGGCAGCACCGCCCCCGCCCTGAGGGGGGGCGGAGGCGCGGCCTGTGCCAGAGGGGGCGTGGTTTGTGCCAGAGGCGCGCGGTCACAGCCGCCTCCCCCCTCCCTCCTGCGCATGCGCCCGTGGCCGGAAGCAGGGCGGGGTGGGGCAGCGGCGGCCATGGCAATGGCGGAGAAGTTCGACTCCCTGGAGGAGCACCTGGAGAAGTTCGTGGAGAACATCCGGCAGCTCGGCATCATCGTCAGCGACTTCCAGCCCAGCAGCCAGACGGGGCTCAATCAGAAATTGTGAGGGGCCGTTGCCAGGCCAGGCCGCGGGGCCTTTTCCCCTCCCACCCTCCCCAGCCTCAGGCTCTCCCTGCCTGGGGTGTCGTGTCCCTGGCCTCGCACTCGTGCAGTGTCCCCTCAGTCGGCTAACAACGACCCATTTTTCTACTTAACAGGAATTTCATGGTGACGGGCTTGCAGGATATCGACAAATGCCGGCAGCAGCTTCACGATATCAGCGTGCCTTTGGAAGTCTTTGAGTAAGTCGCACTGCGCCTGGAAGGGGAGCTGCTGCTGTCGGGTGACCCGAGGTAGCGTGTTTTTGCAGCCTGAGTATTTTCCCTGTGGGCTGCTTGTCTCTTAAGCCCGATCCTTCTGAATGCCTCACGAGAACATGAGCAGGCAGAAGAGGGTAAGAGAAGTGATAAATTAGACAAGTGTTTTCACAGAATCACGAGACGGTTTGGATTGGAAGGGACCTTAAAGCTCATCTAGTTCCAGCACCCCCCCCACAGGCAGGGATGCCACCTGCTAGATGAGTTGCTCAGGGCCCCGTCCAACCTGGCCTTTCAGATATTTTTTTTTCTTTTTTTTTTTCTCATGTTGACTTTTACATATGTGAGCAGTAACACAGATTTTGCCAAATCTAGTGATTTCATAACATCACAGAATGGGTTAGGTTGGAAGAGACCTTAAAGAACATCTAGTTCCAACCCCCTTGTCATGGGCAGGGACACCAATTTAGTAAGCAAGCTTTTATTTGGGAAATATACTTTTACAGTGGAATAGAGTCAAGATTTAAAGTTGGAGGTGAAAATAAAGCCAGTACTCAGGTGTTTAGTTTCAGGAGTGGCAGAGAATTAAAACATCAAAAGAAAAATCATAAGTGTAGAGGAAGAGCTACACACGAGAAGTTCATTGATGTAGCTGACAATTTACCGGTGTGTCTTGTAAGTCTAGATGTCGCTGGTCTGCTGTATTCTAGTGTGTTACTGGCTGTACAGGTCTTTTTTGAGTTGGGCTTTCACTCCAGCTGTAAATTTGTGGTGACAATCTTAAATGTTGTTTTCTTTACTCAGTGATGGAATTTCCCTTTGCCAGGCCCTTGTATTGCAAAGCAGAAATACACATAGGTTCGCTGATACAGTTGTGTTGATTTTTACTCTTTACTATAGTATGTGCCTCCTCATCCTTGAATTGCCGGGTGCTGTATTTCTGTTGTGCTTATTACTCACCGTGTCCTAAGCTACTTCATGGTTACTGCCCTTTCAGTTGCTTGGAAAAAGACCATCTTTCTTCATTCATCTATACTTCCTGCCTGTGAGGAGCTGGTAGATACATATTTTTGTTTGCTTTTAATACTTTCTTCAAAGCTGTCCAGGTTTTCTGGAAGCAGAGTTTTAAAGAAGCTGTTTGCTGGCCATAGCCTCGTCCTTCTTGAGCTGTCTTTTGGAAATGGCTGAGTTAAACTGTGGTTTTTTAAATGCACATTTCAGATAGCAGTGGAAAGAAAAAGTAAGGTAAATGATACTGTACATTAGAGAGCATCCTAGTAGGAATTTGATCATTTAGGCAGTATCTTTTCTATTTTCAGATACATCGATCAAGGCCGCAACCCTCAGCTCTACACTAAAGAGTGTCTGGAGCGAGCTTTGGCTAAAAATGAGCAAGTAAAAGGAAAAATTGACACAATGAAGGTAAACTAGAATTAATAAAATTATTGATGCAATAATGTATTTGATAAGTATTTGGTAATTACTTTTCTGTAATTATGTAGGTATTTTTCACTTGTACCTTTATTAAATTCTGTTATTATATGATTTGTATTAGAAATTGTTCTGCATCCATGAATCTTAGTTGATACTAATATAGCCTGTTCAGGAAGGGAAACTTGTAGTTCATCCCACAGTTGGGGATGCAGATGTCACTATGATTTTATTTTGGTTGCAGTTGTATTACCGGTACGGATATTTTATTTAGGGTTTTTTGCAGGTCTGTAATTCTGATGTGTGTAAATTTAGAAATAAGCAAAAGAAAAGGGGTATTTTTCCCCGTCTTGAATGGATCTTAGAGAGTTAAAATGTCAAACATGCACTGTAAGCATGATTTAATCTTTATAAAAGTAATGAAAATGCCAGTGTTTGGGGTTTTCTGAGCTTGTACTTTCATCTAGTGTGAACTTAAGCATTCTTTGATACTGTTTAACTGCTGGAACTACTGCGGAAAAGCACAGAGAAGGGAGCTTAGTGAATTTTGAGAAAGGGCTGTTTGTGTCTCAGGATGTTCTTTGGCTGAACTTAATTAGTGTGGAGTACGACAAATTGTACTGCACAGTGTAGACATATCTCCCTATTCCCTAAGCTTCTCTTTCTTTTGATATGCTCTGTGCTTGTAAATGTTGTGGGAAGAATTATGTATTTCTAAGCCAAGTGTGAGTTTCTTTTTGAAGGTGGAGTGGGTTCCATATCAGATCAAGAGGACATATCCTTTATCAGTTTTTCTTAATAAGGTTAGGCAGATATTGCTGCACCAGAGTTTACTGGAGAAGCCCAGCTTCTTAGTATTTCTTAGGAGAAAACGCTAGTTAGTTTCTGGGAATTTAAGAGCATTTTAGTCTACCTAGTGCATTGCTAGTGGATTTCACTTGAGCATTTTCTGTGGATTTTGTAAGCATAACTTTCTGTGTTTGTGTGGTTTTGAGAGTTTTTTGGGTACTGTTATCTTAGGTCACTGAAATGTGAGGCTGTGTTGTATACAAACATTTCTGTTCATCAGATAACATGAAATCTAAATAAATTGTTCAAATGATGTATATACATTTTCTTCTCTTTCCAGAAATTTAAAAGCCTGTTAATTCAAGAACTGACAAAGGTGTTCCCAGAAGACATGGCAAAGTACAAAGCTATTCGAGGAGAAGATCCTCCTCCCTAAGTTGGCCTTTTATAGCTTTAAAAATATCCCATAAACTGACACCACCTTATAAAAACATTGATTGGAGAGAGGGGGAATCCAGACCCTCATAACAACTGTACTAAAAATGGCAGTGATGGACTGTAAAGGAGCTTAATGATTGTTGATGGTTGTGGTCTGAAGCTGCTTTATCTTTCTGAAGACTTCTACTCAGACACTGTAGTTGAAACTTCCTGTGGTAATCTGCTTTTCTTTCCTGAAAGGTTTTGGAGATTTGTAAATGCCTACAGGTCATCAATACAGAACATTTCCCACAAAGTGCGTTTCCGGAGCAGAAAAACACGTTTTTTTGGCCTCTGAAAACTGTGCCTCAGGATTGTGCACTTGTCTGTTTTTAAGAGAAATACATTTATTACACTCGATTATTTTTCATTTGTAAACTTTGGGGTTTTTTTAATTGCAGTACAAACAGTTGGCTGCTTTTGTCTTGCCAAATTCTGTTGAGCAGGAGCCTGTCAAGGGCTGCAGTTTTCATGTGTCATAATTAGTTGCAGCCAGGAAAACCTTCAGATGTTTTTTGTTCTATGAGCTACAGTGCAGGTGGCTGAGGATAGAGTAAGTGAGCATACCTGGGGACTGTCTCCTCAGCAACTTTAATGTTTTGTACAGTATTTAATGTAAGCTTTTGTTTATTCATATTCTGCAAACACGTTGAATAAAAATTTGAAAAAATCTAAGTCCTGAGTTTTTCTGTTGTATGCTGCTCTTTGGAGTGTGAACTGAAAGCTGTGAAAAAATAGCATATTCCTCAGTTCCACGATTTTAGAAATAAAATGTATATCGAAACTTGGCTGTTAAAATTTTACATCTGAAGGTAATGTCAATTTGGTATTTTGGTTTTGTAGTGAAAAATTCCATCTTAGTACCTTAAGCAGGAGATTTTGGGGATCAGCAGTTGTCACCTGAAGTCCTTCTGGTTAGCTGCAAGGTCATCCGTGGGATCTGTTGATATGTAAGGTGGTCCCAACAACACACTGGGCACCTCACCCAGGGCTCTGGTGTGTGTGCAGAACACTGGGTTTGCAGTGGGAGCAAGAAGAGCTCTTTTAGTTTTGGGCATTTGTGAAGCTGGAACTGTTTGTGGTTACGTTTGTTCTTCCAGATTTACCTTTTTTTTTGCAACAGCAAATTATTACTTTAACTTCTAGTTGCTAAACAGAGTGGTTTTGGGCAGGAGCTCCAAAATAGCACTATATGCATGTGCTCCATAGCAGACCTGTATAGCCTGCTAAAGACCTTAACAGGGATTTAGGTATGTTTTGAGTTGTTGGTGCCATATTTTGCTTACTTGAAGCACCGTCTGTGCTGTTACCTGCCTGAAGCAGAGCCCATCCATGATGCCAAACACCACTGTGCCTGACCAAACTTTGACACAGCAAAAGAAAAACAGAAAACTAGGTGTTCCTTTTAAAACTTATTACTTGGCAGTCTAAATGAATTCAATTGCTGCCTGATACTATCCTGCACACTTCCTTTCTTGTTTGGTCTTTGTTCCACCACTAATCACTTTTTCCTTCACAGTTTTACTGTATGAACTTAAAGCGTGTTTTACTCAGCCTGAATTGCCCTAGGTCCCTAAGGCTGTTGAAGTCAGTCCTGTGACTGGCAGGTGGGATGTATATAGGACACAAGAGGGTAAAGTATTTTTCCAGTGTGTATAATGTGGGAAAAAGCTTGAGAGCAAAACAGTCAACAGCAGGTAGGTGAAACTGTTTACATGGTAGTTCAGAGAGAACATGTAGGGGGCAAGAGGCTTGTGGATGCTGGTCTGGATACTGGAGTATTCTGGCTCCTAGCACTGACAGCAGTTTGTGTGTCAGATTTGGTGGAGTAGGACACTTAAAAACTAGAGCTTCCAAGAAGTCTTGTTTTTATCTCTTAGATTCATAGAATCACAGAATGGTTTGCACTGGATCTAAAAGATCATCTAGTTCCAATCCCCCTGCCATGGGGGAGTTGGTCAAAGCTCTCTCCAACCTGGCCTTGAACACTTCCAGGGATGGGGCATCCATAGCTTCTCAGGAAAACCTGTGCCAGTGCCTCACCACACTGACAGTGAAGAATTTCTTCCTAATATCTAATCTAAACCCACCATCTTTCAGTTTGAAGCCATCACCTTTGTCCTGCCATCAGCCTGGAGTCAGAGAGCCATGGAGGCGCAAGCATTTCCTCAGCCCTGAGGCCCTGAAAATGTGTGAAATGTCTGCTCTGTAAGTGTATAGTTTGTTATTGTTGTCATTAGTTAATAAATTAAGTACCCAACTCTGGCCACAGTGAAGATGGTTACCCCCATAACACTGGCACCTGTGCTTGCTGAAGGGAGGAAGGTCCAAAGCTTCCCCAGCTCAGAGAGATGATTTACAGCCAGCGCATGGAACACACACTTTCCCTGGATACCTAGGTCGTCGTGGTAAACATGGTGATTGGGATAGTTAGTGGAGGTGGAGAATTAGGGAATAACATTCCTTAAAGGACACCTAATCATGAGATCCCAGCAGCCTGTGTTTTGTGAGGAGTCTGTGTAAGAAAACATTTTTTTTTGGCTTGAGGGATACATATGTCAAGAATATAAATAAATAAATAACCCCAGAAAAAAACCTCTGCTAAATCATCAGGTTTCACGTTCTGCTCGGCTTCAGTTCCAGCTTTTTGACACTTTCTTATCCTATCATTTTGTCCTTGCTTCACTTACTGTTTCTGGGCTAGCCATGCAAAATATTGCTATTGCTGCAACTGTCCATATTTAGCATAATACAGAAGAGAAGTAACTATTGTAATTCATGTATATTTTAGAGAAGAAAAGGTAGCCAGAATAAGTGCCTTTGAGTTTATAGTGTAGAATGAAAATTGCTAGAAACAACCATGTCTTCTATCTCCAGTTGCATATGGAACAGAAAAATCCAACCTAATTTTTCTCTAGTGTGTTAATTGGTTCTCTGAAAAGGAGCATATGTATGAATCACCCTGATGTATGCTCTGGTTAGATGATAACCTTCAAGACATTTGTTAAAGGAGACTTCCATCCCTCCTCTTTTCCACTCTGCTACCTGGATTGCATGGTTGGAAGTGAGCTGGAATTTTATTTAAAGGTAACATCAAAATAACATCAGCCAGGCAACAAATAGCCTAAAATAATTAAAGGGCAACGCAAATCTATCTCAAAGGAAAGTAGAAAACCATTCAGGTTTCAAATGTGTCCTTGAATTTTTAGTAAGATTTTGGAAATAACTGGGAATATGTAACAACAGGTAATTACTTATATCCTTATTACATAAAATTAGGAGATACTAGATAATGCTGCTGGGTACACAGATCTTTAGGATGGAGCGTGTGCCCCTATGCTCCATTTAGAATAAACAAAGTCAATATAAAATTCTTTTGCTCAGACATGGAAAGAAACAGATCAAGAAGGTGCAAAGGATTTTACTGCAACCTGTTAAGCCTCAGCATCCTCTCTGTCCCTTTTCCTACTGGAAGGAGAAGTAGTTGGGTGCCCAGCCTTCCCCTGTCCTTGAAACCTCTTTTTGCTCTTTTATGCCTAAACCTTCTCATGAAGAAAACCTAATGCAGAGCTGTGAAGTCTGACAAGAATAGACGTACCTGTTTCAGGAGTTGGATGCTGCAGCTGCTCAGCTGTTGGTATATCTAACCTCTTTGGGTTTTTTTTCATGCAGATCAAGGCACTGTCGTTAGCCAGTTGTCAGCATAAGATGAAGCACCAGTGTGCCTGAGGCAATCTGTTACTCTTACACCATTCAGAAGAGAGTTTCTTAACTCTCTAGTCATTCTAGGCAGAGCAGTTTGGGTTTCCCTGATTGACCTTTCTAATTTAGTTGGATGAACTGCTAAGTGCTGGGAATGGTTTGATGATTTCACAAATATTTGATATTGTGATGTTTTTATAAATTGCTTTCTTCAATGAGTGCAGTTCCCAAGTAATTGAAAGTGCTTATGATTCCAGTAGTTACCCCAGGTACTCTATAATTTCATCTCTGACTCTCCTCCGATCATAGAAATAGAGCAGATAAACCCTACAGTCCACTTATTTTTTCCCTAAATGATTTTGAGATTTTAATCAGATCAGAAACTGCTAACTGAACTTGCTGGTTTACTGAAACCTCTCTAAATCAATGTATTCAAAAGGTGAATTATATAAATAAAGCCTTAAAAAATGTGTAAGAAGTGTTCCAAATAGCTTAACAGCGAGTTCATAATGGAGAAATATCCTTGCCAAGAATATTTCAGGATACTCATGTTTCAACACAAAGTAATTTCTTACTCTACTATGATTAATAGCAGCAGTGTTTCTGGGCAGGTGCCAGATGTCCTCCAGCTCTGCAAAGCAGAGAGCCAAGGTGACACGAATGTCTGCCCTGCTCTGTGCTTGCTGCAGGTATTTCAATTACTTCCATATGGTGAAGATCCTCTTGTATATTTTCTTAATTAAAATAATGGAGGAGCACACATTACAGGATACTTCTGTAACAGCTCTTGTTAATTCAAATCAGGAATCTGTATTTTCTGTATTGTGATATATTTCATACTGAGTGCTAGGTTGTATTTAGTCTCAACAACATGTAATGCAGACAGTGAAAAAGAAACATCTTTCTGCACAGTATGATAATTTTTAAAACAATTCCTTCTCTTCTTCTGAAAAAAAAGTCCCCTTAATGTGCTAGGAAATGGCACTTAAAATTTCCATTCCTAAAGTGCTGACCTGAATCTACTTCACTTGCTGTTGGCAATTTGGTCATTACGTTAAACAAATTTATCCAAATATTCCTTGAAAGAAGACAAGGCTACTTTTTTATATATTTTGGGAAAAGGTTATTCAAAACTAGTGTTAAGCTTTGTTATTTAACAAGTCACTTGGGTCATATTTATATAATTTCTGCTGCAAAAAATAGCATTTAATCTTCATGTTAATTGTTGACATTCATAAACTTTTATTTGGAATGCTGCTAAGGATTCAAAATTCCTGGGATGATATAAATGTAATGATATATACCAAGCCACTTCTCTACCATCATGGAAATTTTCAGTCCTAGTCAGTAAACAAAGGGAAGTTTATAATTGTCTGTTACCAAAATCACTGGTAGGTGCCATTTTTGTAGGGAAAATATTTTACCCTTAGGCACCTTAGAAATGCACTGCTGAAGTAAGAGATTATCCTTTGAATATATGAGAAATTCCATCCTCCAGCTTATTGTTTGTTTCAAAGTATTACTTCTTTTTCCATAATAGTCTGTTATCTATTATTTTATTACATTTGACCTATACTGTTTTGAAAGATTCTCTTATATGGTCAAAACCCAAGACCAAAGTTTTAGCAGATAAAAATGGCTATAAATAGATCTCTAATCAAACAGTAGATGTCACTCAGTCTAAGACTATTTAATATAATTTCCAGTCATCACATATTAGGTTACAATACTTACATGAATAATTGAATACGCATCTGGTACTCAATAAAACAAAAGATGGATTCAGTGATACAGCCAATCTTATTTAAGAGAAGTATGTTTAAAAAAATCAACAACATTTCTTCTTTTAACAATCTTAAGCATAAATTGTAGGACAGCTGCTTTATTGCTTTTTACTCAACCTGGGAATTTTTCCTCTTACACAACACAATGCAGAAGACGCAGAGCTTCATAGATGCACTTTTTCCTTGGGC